AGTAATATAATATTTTATTTAATTTATGTTTAAACAGTAAAAAAATTAAATTAAAACTATTAAATTTGGTCAAAGAAAATAAATAATTAAATACTATGTATTAAATGATTCTAGTAAAATTATTCAGTATTATATTTTTAAGCATTTTTGTGGAGAAAAAAATAATTTTTTTGATTCACATCATCAATTTTTTTTTACATGGCATTTTCATGTCTTTTTTTGGATTCCATTGATTAACGTGTAATTACACGTCAACATTGAAAACAAAAAAATAAAGTAAAATAGTTAACGGATTATAATGACACATGGTGACTTAACTTATAGAAGAATTAAAAAGATATCGAACATTAAACTTTAAGAATTAAAAAGAGGATTGTTTTAGTATAAAAACTAAAAAAAACTTTTTTCAATAGTAGAGGGAGCAAAAAGGTTATTTAACCTAACTAAAATAACTTGATTTAAGGTCAACAGTCAAGGCTTCGAACTTCTGCAATCCCAATTTACCAAAAAAAAAAAAGGGAACTGTTTGATATTGAGGATTAATGTAACAGGAATGAATCTTCCTTGCTAAACAGCAAAACAGCTTCCCTGCAAGTGAGGTGATTTTATGCCCCCTAATTTTGTTATCCAAATAAGAAATTTTATCACCGTCCCCTCCTGTCCTCTCAAACCAAACAAGTTGTTAGAATTTTGTTAGATTTTTTGAACTTGTCTTGGTAGTATTTTTAATATTTAAAATTGTTTTAACTTTTAAGAATTTATCGTTTTATGTAAAAAGTAAAAACAATCCTTAAAATTTACCAAACTTAAAAAATAATAATAAAAGTAATATTAAAACCTCAAAAAGACTAAAAAAAACACGATGAGAAAAGTACTGCGAAAGACAACGAATACAAAGAAGGGAAACCAGCAGACTAATTGAAGAACTCTAATACAATTTGAAGTTCAAAAACGAGAAACCACAGGATTATATTTTTACTAAAGATAATGAAGTAGTAATCATTTGACAGCAGGAAAACTAAGGTAACCAAATTGGACACCAATAGAGAAATCTAAAATTGAAGATCTAGATAGATAGCGTACCTGTCGCAGATTTAGCAAAAGGAATTAAAGCAAATTGGACAATGATAACCAAATTAGGCCTGGCAAATTAGATGACGCAGCAGATCTGCAAAATTGCAACGGCAAGCC